CTTGGCGTGACGCTGGACAAGATGCCGTCCCCCGGCCAAATAGTGAAGAGGAGGCAAAATAAATTGGATGCAGCCAAAGGTGACCACAATCAAACTGAAGGGAACACCATTTTCATTTTTGCAACTACTATTAAACTCGATGATATGTGACGCCATGTGTAGGCCAGTTTAGAATTAGTAGCAATAACAGAAATAGCAGCAGCAACAGTAGTAGTAGTAGTAGAAGTGCCCGTATTAACAGAAAGAGTAAAAATATTAGAAATACGAGTGGTTGTAAGAGTAGTATTAATGGCAGCAGCAAAAGCGGTAGTTCCAGTATGGTCAATAATAGTAGAAGTAGCAGTAGTGGTAATATCAGTAATGGCAATAGCAGCGCAATGCAAAGGGTAGTAATAGTTGTGCCATTGCTAGAAATAATGTCTGCAGTAGTAGTAGTAGTGTCCGTAGTAATGTAAATAGTGTAAGTATAAGTAACACAAATAGTAGAAGGAATAGTAAAAGTAGAAGTTGCAGATGTAGTAGTATTGACAGTAATAGTAGTAGTTATTGTAATTTAGTAAGTTGTGTGTACACGCTTGTTTCCCCTACACCAAACTTCCTCCGATCACGCCACTTTTAGTTCAGACCAGCTCTCTTCTGAGGCGATAGTAAACATAACAATTGCTTTTATCCCCCGTGCAATGGGCAGTATTAGCATAATTACTCGTAATTTTTGGCACCTACTTACAAACGAAAAATAAGTAATGTAGTCGATTGCTACAGCAAATAGAACTCTGCTTCATCGACAATCCCACCAGAGAATTTGATATGACAAAATGCCTGGTCTTCATTGAAATTAACATTTGACCTGTGCGTCAAGGGCGTTCGTGACAATGCGGCGTAGTGGTTGACGTGTCGAGATTATACGCCGCAGCGTCATGGTTCGAGTCCCGCTGATGGTGTTGATAAGATCTGGGCGAGGCAGACACTGTAGTCCACTCCGGCCGGGATCAAAATACCTTTTTGGAAAACAAGATTATGTGAAATTCAGGCGAAGCGTCAGGTCTACTTATTTGATTGTGAAAAAATTTAGCTACCAGTCCTTCATGACCTTCAACAAAATAGGGTAAATACGTCTGGTAGTCTCGAACGCCTACTCACAAACGA